AGTCTGAAAAAAAGTCTTCTGCTTCCATATTATTAAGTTTCCGTGTCATCTTATCCATTTCAACTATAAACAGTAGATATTTAATCCAATCTCCAATTTCCGGAACTTCATCCTGTTTCCAACATTGAACATAGGTCATTCTGGCAGTTGTAATCATATACCACATCAATGTTCTTTTTGCCACATTGACCTCTTCCATTTTTAGTCCCAAAAGTAATATTTCCGATTCTTTCTTAAATTTACATTTCACATTTTTTTTCCATCTCTGCCTGAATCTCAACCCAAATTTTTTTAGCTTTTTCACACGTCCACCACATATGATAAAACGAACCCTCTACCTTTTTACACTTCCAACATTTGTTTGACATATTAGTATTCATATTAGCAATCTTTTTTGGTGTCATATACCATCTATACATCATCTTATAACAGTTTTCTTTTAAATTGTTACATGTTGATATTTTTAGTGCATTCTTCCATAAATATTCCCAAGATGACATCATTATTTCTTTATTCATATTTACCGCCCATTTTATCATCTGTTCTTTAACTGTCTCATCTTCTGTGTACCATTTTAACAATATTTTATACATTTTTGAATTAAGTTTTTTACCTCCCTCAAACCATACATTCTCAATCTCATTATACTTTTTTCTAAAACCACATGTCTTTTTATCTTTTTTAAACAAGTCATTAATTTGTCTATATTGGAACCAACCATATTTAAAAGCTAGATCTTCTTCCATTTTCATTTCAAATGACTTTCCCACTGGCTTCAGCATGTCTTTATATTGTACCCAATCTTCTCATTTAATATATCAAAAATGTCTTTATTACCTCTGCCGGTACAATCCAAAGAGGTCTCTCATCCAAGAAGAACCTTCTATATTTAGTCCATGTGTCGAAAAGCACTCTTCTGATATAATGATGTTTGAAGAAACCATCTATGTTCACCTTTTCGTACCATAAATAGGCATGCCACCCAAATTTATAGTCATGATCTTCTAACGCCAACAGTTTTTTGTTATTTAGCGTAGCCCATTGCTGCAACCAAGTTAAACAAACCGCTTCATGGTACAATCTAAAGTTTGGTAACTGGAATCCTCCTCTCTCTTTCGCATCACATAAAATCTTCATTTTAATTCGTGGTTTCTTCCCAGTCCAAACAAACTTTGAAATTTCTCTTTGCCACATGTTAAAAATCTTCACGTCTCTTACTATTGGGATTGTCTGAAATAGAAACATTAGCCGTGGTAAAATGTTCATTTTTACCACAGAAATTCTTCCCATAAATGACAAGTTCAATGTGTTCCATTTCTTAATATCGGCCCCGTTCACACGGAGCAGAAGCCACGCTAAATAGACAGAAGAGAGGCGGAGTTACCTGGCGCGATCACACGGCAACATCTGTGGAGCATAGAGCTCCCGTGGTTGAACTGTGGCGAACCGCCGATAAAACCACCAGCACATCTGGGAAGCGTAGCACTCCCGTGGCTCAACCGAGGCTTCCAGCCGAAACTGCGTGGCAAAAAACTAGTACCTTGGAGGTACTAGTTTCCGGAAACTGCGGGGCAAGGGCGGGCGTCTGATCGCGTTTCCGGTGGCATCCGGCGCCCGCCCATGTCCCCTTGCGAAGACGTTTCCCCCCCCCCAAGTCTCCGTGGTTGCGCACATGCACCCAACGGAGCATGCGCATTCGTAGTGTACACAGAAAAAGGAAACCAGTTCGCCGCGCCACGCGCTTCTTCAAAGTTGCGCGCAGGCGTGTGTTGTGATCGACGCCTCTCCATAACCACGGAAGCTCCATGGTTCCTCCACAGAACCTCCACAGGAGGTATGATCGCTTTACTGTGTGTTAGTTTGCCCCGGAACAAACAGCCACGCTTCCCCCCCGCAGTTTCCTGCCTGTGTGACCGGGGCCACTCTGTTGTATTTTAGACCAAAGCTTTTCATAGTTATTCTTGTATAAGTCTATATTCTTCATTGTCAAATCAATTCCTAAGTACTTAGTCTTTTTTTACTACTTCACATTGAACCAACCTCTGGCCCCGGTCACACGGGCAGGAAACTGCAGAGGAGAAGCGTGGCTGTTTGCCCTGGGGCAAACTACTGCGCAGTTACGTGATCAGACCTCCTGTGGAGGTACCGTGGAGGTTCCATGGAGGTTCCATGGCAAGGGAGAGGTGCCGATCACAGGACAAGCCGGCGCGCAACGAAGAAGCGCGCGCCGCGACAAACTGTTTTTTATTTTTGTGTACATGACAAATGCGCATGCTCCGTTGGGTGCACATGCGCATCCACAGAGACTTGGACAAAAAAAACCCACCTTATTTGCAAGGGGACATGGGCAGGCGCCGGATGCCACCGGAAACGCGATCAGACGCCCGCCCTTGCCCCGCAGTTTCCGGAAACTAGTACCTCCAAGGTACTAGTTTTTTGCCACGCAGTTTCGGCTGGAAGCCTCGGTTGAGCCACGGGAGTGCTACGCTTCCCAGATGTGCTGGTGAGATCGCGCCCGGAAACTCCGGCTGTTTTCCGTCTCACTTGTGTGGCTTCTGTTACGTGTGACCGCAGCCTTTGTAGCTCTTCTCATTTCTTTTCCGTCATATTCTTACACATCACCTTTGACTTGTCTTTATTAAGGTAGAAACCTGCTAAGTCTCCAAATTCTTTTATTTTCTTTAATAGTAATGGTAAATTCTGTAAAGGGTCTTCAATCATAAACATAACATCATCTGCAAAAGCTCTGTATTTGTAAGAAAAACCCTTATTAGTTAAACCTTGTATTGTTTTATCTTCCTTAATTTGTTTCAGTAATACTTCAAGAATCCATATGAATAATAACGGGGACAGAGGACATCCTTGCCTCATCCCCTTCTGTACTTTGAAGTACTCCGTCACATCTGAATTAATTACCAGTGCTGCTTTCTGTTCTGAGTATATTGCTTCAATGCTATTCCTAAATTGTTCTCCAATATCTATTTTGTCCAATACACTATACATAAAGTCCCAGTTCAGATTGTCAAAAGCTTTTTCAGCATCTACAAAAAGGAAACCAACCTCCTTCTCCGGATGTTTATCATAATATTCAATAGCATCAATCACCATTCTCATATTATCTTTTATCTGTCTATTGGGCAAAAACCCTGCTTGTTCTTCTTCTATAACCTCTTGCAAATATCTCTTAAGTCTTTCTGAAATAATCTTGGCAAACAGTTTATAATCATTGTTCAAAAGGAAAATTGGTCTATAATTTTTTACATTAGTTAAATCCTGAGATTCCTTGGGGATAAGCGAAATTGTGGCTTCTTTTCATGTGTCTGGTATTTTCTTCGTCTTCCTTATATCATTCATCAAGAGTTCAAATATTGGGATTAGCTCCTCTTTGGTTTTTTTATAAAATTTTGCTGTATAGCCATCTGGTCCTGGAGCTTTTCCCAGCTTTGCCTCCTGAATCGCCATGTCAATTTCTTCTCTTGTTATTGGACTGTTCAACAATTCTTTGAATTCTCCCGAAATTTTTTCCATGTTTATCTTATCCACATAAGCCTTTATTTTATTTTTGTCTATTGTTTTCTTTGCAAAAAGTTTTGCATAATATTTTTTAAAAGTTCTCTTAATTCCATTAATGTCTACAATTTCTTTTTCCCCATCCATTATTTTACTTATAATTTTATTTTCCCGCCTCTTTTTCAGTTGCCACCCCAAATATTTTCCTGGTTTATTTGCCCCTTCAAAAGACTTCTGTTGCAATCTTTTTAAATTCCAATAAATTTCTTGATTCATTAAAGCGTTTAATTGCTCTTGCAAAATTTGTATTTCCCTTATTATTTTCTTTTTGCCCGGCCGTTTCTTTAAATGTCTCTTTTGTCTCCAATATCTTAATTTGCTGTTCCATTCTCTTTTTCCTTTCTCTGCTGTTTAAAGATATTAGTAAACCCACTGGACTGTTTTGGACCAGGGGGCCGGGGGGGGGCTCTGCAGCTTACCTGGCTGCTTCTTGCTCTGACTGAGGGCTGCTGGGAGAATGCTTGTTGCATGTGCCCGCCCCCTGGGCTCTTTACTGCTGGAGCTCTGGTCCTGTGCGCTCCAGCAGAAAATGACCCCTGGTCTTCAAAAATTTCGGGTGGATGTTTGTTCCTTGAAGAAACCTCTATCTCTTCTATTTCAGTTTTGATTTTACCCACTGCTTCCTTTGATTTCTTTATAATTATTAACATTAGATCTTCCGAACCTTTATTCAAGATTGCTGCCCAATTAGCTAAAAACTGATCATCATTCCTAAACATTGCTGGTGGCTGATTTACTCTTACACCCCTCGGGATCTTGTTTGTTCTACAATACATTGATAGTGAAGATGCATGAAGATGCATGAAGATGCATTTTTATGGATTTCTTCTTTGAGAAAGGTATAATGCTCCCAGTTCTTTGCCGCTTCGTTACCTTATCACGGTTGTTTTCCTTACGAAGCTCAGCCTGTCCCATGATCTCTCATCCTTAACTTATCCCCTGTCCCAGCAGACACGGGTTATCCGAGTTTGAAGGCCAGCTCCTCTTCTCTCTCACCACACCTGGACGGAAACTCTCTGTACAATCCCAGAACTAGAAATCGTGATCATTTGTTTACATTTCATCATTAAAGCACCTTCATGGCAATGCAAATGGGAAAGGCAGAGAAACAGATCTTTGCCACCTTTCCCCTTAAAGTATGTTTGGGGAGTTTTGGGGAGGGGAGGGATAGACAGAATACGGAAAAAGCTCTATTGTAGGGCTGGCCAGGGAAAAGTTGTGACCAGCAGCTCAGGAGAGAAAATGCACACTCGTTAATCAGGAGTTCCTGAATGGTGGCTAAGCTCCTTGTGTGTGTGGTGATTGGACCTCCCTCTTTATTCCAGCAGGAGACGTTGAGGAGTCAGTTATGGAATTTCAGGGGTTCTCACTGGAAAAAGCCCAGAATGAACAGGCCAAAGGAAACTTTCATAATACAGATGGACCAGAAAGGCAGGAAGGAAGCCATATTGTGAAGATGCGGGTTCAGTCCATTCCTCACCAAGAACAGGGCTGCCATGAAATCCCAGTTGGCAGCCATCTGCAAAGGACTCATTCAGGAGTAAAGCCATTTATCTGCTCCAAGAATGGAATGACATCCTCCAGTGGTGGAAAGGGTAATGTATATTTTCGAAACCCCAGGATAATGCAGGCATGTAAATGCTGTCACTGTGGAAAGTGCTTCAGATACAGACCACAGCTTCTTGTACACCAAAAAATACACACAGCACAGAAGCTCTTTGAATGCTCAGATAGTGGAAAGAAATTCAGTAGGAGTGGAAAGAGATTCAGTAGGAGTGGCAAACTTCAAAAGCATCAAATGACCCACACAGGGGAGAAACCTTCTGAATGCTCAGACTGTGGAAAGACATTCCGTCAGAGTGGTGGACTTCAACAGCACCAAAGACCCCACACAGGGGAGAGACCTTTTGAATGCTCAGAGTGTGGAAAGAGATTCAGTCAGAGTAGCCATCTTCAAGTGCACCGAAGAACCCACACAGGGCAGAAACCTTTTGAATGCTCAGAGACGGAAAAGAGATTCATTAGTAGTAGCCATCTTCAAATGCACCAAAGAACCTACACAGGGGAGAAACCTTTTGAATGCCTCGAGTGTGGAAAGAGATTCAGTACGTGTGGCCATCTTCAAAGGCATAAAAGAACCCACACAGGGGAGAAACGTTTTGAATGCACCGAGTGTGGAAAGAGATTCAGTATGAGTCACCATCTTCAAATGCATCATAGAATCCACACAGGGGAGAAACCTTTTGAATGCTCAGAGTGTGGGAAGAGATTTAGTCAGAGTGGCAGATTTCAAGAGCATGAAAGAACCCACACAGGGGAGAAACCTTTTGAATGCTCAGAGTGTGGGAAGAGATTTAGTCAGAGTGGCAGATTTCAAGAGCATGAAAGAACCCACACAGGGGAGAAACCTTTTGAATGCTCAGAGTGTGGGAAGAGATTTAGTCAGAGTGGCAGATTTCAAGAGCATGAAAGAACCCACACAGGGGAGAAACCTTTTGAATGCTCAGAGTGTGGGAAGAGATTTAGTCAGAGTGGCAGATTTCAAGAGCATGAAAGAACCCACACAGGGGAGAAACCTTTTGAATGCTCAGAGTGTGGGAAGAGATTTAGTCAGAGTGGCAGATTTCAAGAGCATGAAAGAACCCACACAGGGGAGAAACCTTTTGAATGCTCAGAGTGTGGGAAGAGATTTAGTCAGAGTGGCAGATTTCAAGAGCATGAAAGAACCCACACAGGGGAGAAACCTTTTGAATGCTCAGAGTGTGGGAAGAGATTTAGTCAGAGTGGCAGATTTCAAGAGCATGAAAGAACCCACACAGGGGAGAAACCTTTTGAATGCTCAGAGTGTGGGAAGAGATTTAGTCAGAGTGGCAGATTTCAAGAGCATGAAAGAACCCACACAGGGGAGAAACCTTTTGAATGCTCAGAGTGTGGGAAGAGATTTAGTCAGAGTGGCAGATTTCAAGAGCATGAAAGAACCCACACAGGGGAGAAACCTTTTGAATGCTCAGAGTGTGGGAAGAGATTTAGTCAGAGTGGCAGATTTCAAGAGCATGAAAGAACCCACACAGGGGAGAAACCTTTTGAATGCTCAGAGTGTGGGAAGAGATTTAGTCAGAGTGGCAGATTTCAAGAGCATGAAAGAACCCACACAGGGGAGAAACCTTTTGAATGCTCAGAGTGTGGGAAGAGATTTAGTCAGAGTGGCAGATTTCAAGAGCATGAAAGAACCCACACAGGGGAGAAACCTTTTGAATGCTCAGAGTGTGGAAAGAGATTCATTAGTAATTCCAGTCTTCGAAAGCATCAAAGAACCCACACAGGGAAGTAATGTTTTAAATGTTCAGAGTCTGGAAAGTGATTCAGTCAGCATCCCGGTCTTCAGAAGCATCAAAGAATCCACAACCTTTTGAATGCTCAGACCCAGGGCCCAGCAGAATGAAAGAAAGCTACGCACCCTTGTTTGCTCCCAAGCGGACCCTGCTCCATTCTCGCCACCCTAACAAGGGAAGAGGACTTCCCAAAGGAAATGGAAAGTTGGGGAGGTAGCATCTGAAAGACAAAGGAAATCTTCCAGGGAAAAAGCTTTCACAGGTCAAAGCTCATTTGGTCAGGCAGAAATGAGAACAAAGATCCATCAGATCTTACGGTATCTCTGCCTTTACATGGCCCTTTTTGGCAACCCCCCTCTCACCTTCTGAGCCAGAGAGAAAAGTTGATGTGTCTTCTTTCTCATTCCTATCTGAGAAAGTGAGCTTTAATTCATGAGAATTTAAACCCTGGAAAATTTGGGTGGTCTTGAAGGAGCTACTGGACTTATTCTGCTCTGCTTCTACAGGCTAATACGACAACCCTCCAGAGAGGCAGAGAGCATTCCTCGCCCTTCCAGCCTTCAGACTCCAACAGATGGAACTGAATAGCTCCAGTGATGGGAGGAAAAGCCTCAATTAAACCCACACGCATTTGGACGAAGGTACAAAATGGTTTGGAAAGAGGGTCCGAACTGAAATGGTCATGTCTAGGAAGAATCTCTGCAATAAAAATGAATGTATTGCCAAAATAAATTTTCTGTTTCAGATTATACTGATCAATATACAAAGACTTTGATGAACTGGCAGAAACAAATAAATACATTTATATGGATTGTGGAAAACCCCAAGAATTAGATTTAAAGTATTACATGATTGTAGGGTCTGGCCAGGTTCTGAAGAATACTCTGTGTCGTCTCAGGCAGGAACAACACACAGTTCATTTGGCGTCCGCTCCCAACACCAGTAATTGGCAACAACGTAGTAGTACCACTCTGCACACTCAGACAATAAATGCTTCCCCCATTACAAGATACAGCTGTGCTGTGCTCCTTTACTGGCCATTTAAACACACAATACATCACATCTCCCTTTCTCAAAACAAATATTACAAAAGGAAATTTAAAAAAACAAAGATATCAAGATTTTGGTTAAAACAAATACAATCACTAAGGTACATATCTTTCTTGTGGAAAAAAACCAGATCTTCCATAAGATGTTATACATCTAGGACGCCTTTCTTCAGCCTGCAACACACACGTCTCATCTGATAACATTTTCATCTTCATCCTGTTTTGAGTCCTCAGTATTCTCACTAGTCCTATTACAAGGTCCCTTATTTTGTGTGTCCAAATGTTCAGTTGTGGTCCCATCCTGACCCAAATCCTCAGACCCGTTACTTCCAGACACCCTGTGTTGATACTTCAGCTTGCGTCTATTACGCCTATAGACGAAGCCCTCAGAGGTGATCACTCGATACGTACGAGGCTGTTCACATTTTTCTGTTACCATAGCTGGAACTCACCCTTCCTAGGGCTCTTCCCATACAGAGTCTCCTTGTTGTAAGGGCTTTAAAGATTTTGCTGCCTTATCATAAACATATTTTTGCCTGTCTTGTGCTCTCTGAAGGTCTTCTCTTGCCCCACTAGGTACCTTAGGGCATAGCAAGCCAGTAGTTTATTTATTTATTTATTCAATTTGTACCCCGTCCTTCCTGTGAGCAGGCTCAGGGCGGCTAACACAGTTGATAGTTACTGGCAATTTGCTTCTTAATATTCCTCGAAACTGTTTCCTTGCCACCGAATCAATCACTCATGTCCTCCTGTTCTGCAGATTCTATCAGGAGGAATGAGACCATCTTATACTACCCCTTCTGTCTAGATTTAGCCCTATGCAGTCTTATCTTGACTTTAGGCCAGAAGTCCTTCGTAAATTCCTCCTAGAAGACGTCCAGAGCTCAGTGACTTACGCTGTGGCAAAATTTTGTTGCTTAGCTATTAGGAAACGTACACTTATTTTAGCTGAAAAAACTGTATGCTCTTATTAATATTATTTTATCTTACTAATTTTATTAACTTTCTCTTGTTAATGTTTTTATACTATTCCTATGTTGTTACTGTTTTAATCCTTCTTATATCAGAACTGTACTGTTTTACGGGCTCTTGCTGTAATAAATTAGATCGCGATCACGTAGATTGCGTTGCTTCTGAACATTCTGCCCATCAACATCTGAGCTGGAGAGTACGCCATCCCCATAACAGGTGTATTACAATATTCCAAGGCCAAACTCCCAGCCAACAAGAAGAAGAAGAAGCAGATTCCAAAGAAAAAGGCATGTTATCACTCACAACCACTTTCGGAATGCCATGATGAGGAAAAAAAAGCTTTAAGTTTATCTCTTGCAGTCTTGTCAGGCAAAGTTACTACTTCTGCATACTTTGAAAAATAGTCTACCGCAAGCAAAAATGGAAGTGAGCCATGTTCAAAAATATCTATCCCCGCTTTTCCCCCATGGTAACTAAGGGATTTCATGTGGCATGTGGTTCTTTTTGTTTGTTTTTTGATGCAAAGTGAGTACCCGTAGAACAATTTCCAATGAGTATTTCAATATTATTCAACATACCTGGCCAGTATGTCACTTCCCTTGCCCTAGCTTTGGTTCTCTGAATACCTTGATGTGAATCATGAAGCTTGCAAAGCATATTACGCCTTTGTGATAAAGGAACAACTACTTTTTCTGCCACATAAAGAATACCATCTTCACCACGTAACAAATCTTTCACTGACCAAAATGGCTTTGCCTCAGGAGGAACATCTCTCAAATACTGCGGCCAACCCTTGACTTACAAGGGCTACGACTATCTGCAGTTGACCATCTCAACTAGTAGCTTCCCGGAAAGTAGCCACTGCTTTGGAATGCACAGCCATTGTACTTAATTGATGTATAACTCTCTCACCTTCTACAGGTTCTTCATCATTTGCAGGAGGGTCCACAGTGGCTCGTGATAATGTAGCAGCAAGATACATTTGCCTCCCTGGGGTATATACTACATTAAGTTGATGTCTCTGTTAAGTTGTAACGACATTCACTGCAAAAAAGCAGGTTCACTACCAATTGACTTCTTAAAAATGGCTTCTAACGGTTTATTATCAGTCTGAACCTAAACCCCAAGAATGAGATTTAAAGGATTACATGATGAGACAAAAGAGGAGGCTTAGCAGTACCTAACATTAAACTATACCAACAAGCAGCCGGTTTGGTTCAGATTGCAGATTGGATCAAAAATAAAAGATAAAAGTCATATTATCAGAGCCAGTGTACTCAATAGGTGGGAGACTACAAGGCTAATGCGGTCTTGGGGTGTATCAACAGAGGCATAACATCCAAATTGCAAGATGTGATAGTCCCATAGCACACTGCCTTGGTCAGGCTGCACCTGGAGTATTGTTTGTGGTTCTGGAGGCCTCACTTTAAAAAGGATGTGGAGAGAATGGAGCGGGTGCAGATGAGAGGAACGAGGATGGTTGGGGGCCTGGAGACCAAGAAGCCTTGTGAGGAGAGGTTGAGGGACTTGGGAAGGTTCAGTCTGGAGAAGAGGAGGTTGAGGGGGACACAATTGCTCTCTTGAAGTATCGGAAGTGCTGCCACTTAGAGGAGGGCAGGGAGCCATTCCTGTTGGCAGCAGAGGAGGAGACTCACAAGAACGGGTTTTAATAAAGGGTGGGAAGGTACCGGCTGGATATTAGGGAAAGCTCTTTTTGCAGTAAGAGTTGTGCAACAGTGAAATCAGCTACCTAGGGAGGTGGTGATCTCCCCCTCACTGGCAGCAACTGGAGTCGGACAAACACTTGTCAGGGATGCTTTCGGCTGATCCTGCATCGAGCCGGGGGTTGGACTAGATGGCTATGCCCCCTCCAACTCTGTGATATGATTCTAAAGAAGAATTAGCCCTACAATATCAACTGTAATGTCACAAATAGATGCATATTATGATAGACATGAGAGGAAAAATGATGACTTCATAATCTATAACGATATGTTAAATTCAGAAGGAGAAATCAAATCCTGCCCAGCAATCAAAGAATCATAGAATTGGAAGGAGCCTCCAGGGTCACCTAGTCCAACCCCCTGAACAACGCAGGAAATTCACAAATACCTTCCCCCCCACACATCCCCCGGAGAATTTGGGCAAAGAGATATCTTTTCAACAATGGGGAAATGTATGGATAAAAGATATAAAGTTCACAGCTTCTGAAGCATTAAGAGAAAATTGGTATAAGATGCTCTGTCATTGGTACATTACCCCAAAAGACTTTGAAAAGATGGATAAGAAGGGGATTTGCCGGATATTTCAATAGGCGGATGGTACTTTTTACCATATGTGGTGGACTTGCAAAAAGATGAGGAGATACTGGAAAGAAATCCATGCGGAAATTCTGAAAATCTTAGAAAAGTAATTTTCCTTTGAAATCAGAGACTCTGTTATTGGGATAATGTTGAAAAAAATCTCACAAGACTTATTTAAATACATGCTTACTTCATCTTGAGTAATATTAGCAACAAAGGTGAAAACAGAAGAGTGTCCTACTATAGAGATTTGGAGAGAGAAATTAGCAGAGTATGGTGTAATGGCAGAACTAACCAGCCAAGTAAAGAAAAGACTGACTAAAGAATTTCAACAGCAGTGGAAGACCTACTACTCATATTATGCGTAAAGACTGAGGATAAAAGATATAATTTACTGAAGATGACATGGTTAAATCAGACTCTTTAGATATAGTAAAACAAGTAGGGGAAGTGTGAGAGAATACGTTCAATTCTTGGTATACATTTAACTTTTTTTGTTTTTTAAATCTAAAATATATCATTTGACTTATATTGACCTATTTTCCCCACTGATATAAATCACTACTTAACTGAGATTAACTAATAATAATTGAGGATTGTTTTATTATCAGTTCTAATGTAATATTATCTCATTATATACATGGTGGGATAAAAATTTATTTTATTCTTGCTTAAATATTTTTTGTCTTCCTCTCTGATGTAGTAGCAATCATGATGGTTATGTTAAAAATCATAGCAGCAGTGTTGAGAAATGAAGCAATATGGAACATTATATCCTTGATTTGTGCCTTGTACAAAATGCAAATGTCCTTGATAAATGTTAATATTTTCATATGTTTAATGCTTTTATACTCCACTTCCCTGTTTTCTTCTGTAGCCCCTTTAATTCCTTTTTAAAATAAAATAACACCAACCCTCCAATGCGTCACTCTGAGCTGCTTGGAAGATGGCTGAGATAGAAATGTGATGGTTTCCCTCCACCAGATGGGATCTGAGGCAGTACTTAGACAGGGAGGAAAAACTCCCCTCTTGAACCCGCTCACACACAGTGGGTCACTGGAGTGAGTGTCAAACCAAGATTTTCCATGCGAGGAAGAAAGGCAGAGGAGCCCTGCTGGATCAGACCAGTAGTCCATCCAGTACAGCATCCTGTCTTACACAGTGGTCAATCAGGGCATCGAGAGCGAGGCCTTCCCCTGATGTTGCCTCCTGGCTCTGGGATTCAGAGGATTAGTGCCTCTGAATGTGGAGGTACCCCAATTCTCACCATGGCTACTAGCCATTCATAGCCTCATCCTTCACGAATCTGTCTAAACTCTTTTTTAAACTGTTTATTCCTGTGGCCATCACTACATCCTCCAGCACTGAATTTCACATTTTAATCACTCTGTATAAAGTGGTATTTCCTTTTGTCCATCCTGAACCTACTGCCCATCAGCTCCACTGGAGGCCCTCGAGTTCTAGTATTTTGGGAGAGGCAGAAAAATGTCTCTTTTTCCACTCTGTCCACCCCAGGCACAATTTTATAAACCTCTACCATGTCCCCCCCCCAGTCATCTTTTTCTTAACTGCAAAATCCCAGACACTTCAGCCTTTCCATCTTGGTCGCCCTCCTCTGTACGTTTTCCTGCTCTGCAATGCCCTTTTGGAGTTACGGTGACCAGAACTGTACACAGTATTCCAAATGAGGCCGCACCATAGGCCTATACAGGGGCATTACAATGTAGGCCATTTTATTCTCAGTCCCTTTCCTAAGAATCCCTAAGACAGGGTTGTATAGAAATATTGCTTCCTATAAGCCCCTGTCTCCCCCTAGAATGTCTGATTTCTAAAGGTTTCATGTCTCCCCTAGAATGCTGATATCGTGCTGGTGCCCCTGCTGTGTTGATTTCCTATTGAAACCAAATGGCTTGAACATTTGGTCAGAGAAGCTCTATTGCCATGCCATAAACCACATACCTTCACACCTACATGCTAGAAGCTAGGCTAGCATGCCAGAAACAGCACGCACGCTATGGGAGTTGGGGCTTGGGGGATCACATAACTGTGGGTGTGGCCTTCAAAACAACTGACCATTCAGAAATGGTGCCCATGGCAACCCTACCATTGGGCACTCCCAGGTCTCCTTCAATTGGCTCCTGGCCAGAGCTAATTGGAAGACTGGAATTGCAGTATATCTGGTTATTCCCAATGAGAGGATTTTCTCTCTCTCTCTCTGTTCCTGGTTGTGAGATCTTGGATGGACACTGAAATGCTCTTGTCCTGCCATGTGGTCTGTGGGAGGACAAAGGACTCCTTTGTGAGCTGACCATGTGCTAGCAAGGATGGAACTATTGTTTCTCAAGATACCTGGTCTCTTACCATGGACTATTCTGGACTGATAACTGTTCCTGACTTGGTAAATATGCTTCTTACTGTGTAGTTAAGGCAAAACTTGCCTAGGCTGTTCTTTTGAATCCTCTTAGTCGGATTGCAAGTTCTATACTGAATAAACCTTATTCTTGTTTATAAATAGT